AGAAGGTTTTTATCACGATAGCGGTGGACTGTAGGAAATCATGTATTGGTAATGGGAGTACGTGATGGGAGAGGGATTGGTGTACAATTACAGCAGTACCGGCATGTGCTTTTCCGTCAGGGTGGTCAGTACGATATGTCAGGTATTGTGGTATATTGAAGTGCTGTTTAGTGGTTAGTCGAGTTTCAGTAATTAGTGCCACATCAATGTTCTTGTCAAGTAGTAAAGTAGATAGTTCGTCTGTATGATTTCTAACACCATTCGCATTCCAAAGGAGAATGGATATGGGTTTAGGGATGTGAGTCATTTAAGGATTTTTCAAAGGAGGGATGAGGTGAGATACGAGATTCGTGAGGAGTGATATGAGTGGAGTAACAAGGGATTTGAAATCGGTGAGGAAAGATGCTAACAAACTTGTGAGATCTGTTGCATTTGAAGGAGGAGGAATATGAGGAATTTGTTGTTGGTGGTTAGGTATATTAGGATGAAGAGGATTTTGAGGTTGGGTTTGAGGTTGTTGTTGTGGCAGGGCTTGACATTTATCGGTTAAAGTCTTACCTCTAAGTAGTTGGGAGAATGATACATCATTGTTTACAATTCTGGAAGGCTCTCTCTCTCTTCTTGTTCTTAGTGCTTCATCTTGAATCCGGTTTTTCTGGTGTCTGGTTTTGAGATTCTTGTAAATTTGGCAGCCTTTGTAGTTGGCCGGGTGTCCCTCCAAGCATAGGGCACATACTGCTGGATCTTGTATAGGTTTGGTGCACTCTACAGATTTGTGCTGTTCACCGCACTTCACGCAACGCGGCAGATGGTGGCAATATGTCTTCGTGTGGCCATAGGTCTGACAATTATGGCACTGCACGATGTCTCTCTTGGGATATGGCTTCTCAACTTTCACCATTGTGTAGTATATTCTTGTGATATCATATATTTTTTCGATACCTGGTGATGGCTCCAAGTCCACGAAAAACAATGGTAGTGGGATCCTATTTCGTAATCCTGGCTGCTCCCTGTCCTCCTTCAAAACGTTTGTTACCTGGCGTACATTGAAACCAAGCGTCGTTAGTTCTTCTTTAATAACTTCAGTGGGGGTTGAGGAATGTAAATTTCTTATCACTACTCGTAAAGCTCTTTCCTGCCTCAGCTGGTAAGTGTGAAAATTCGCATTTGTTTCTGATAAGTACTTCACTATTTTTCGGTAGGCTTCTGCAGAATCAGGTGTTATTTTGGTGTCATTGGTCCTGTTAAGGCATGAATAACTGCCAGAGCAGATTTTATTTAGTTGGGTGCAGAACATCTGGAAATTTTTTATATTTTTCACAAATATCGGAGGAGGCTTTGGTTCTCTGGATATTGCTGCAGACTCCATTACTTCTCTGTCATTTTGAAGCACTTGGTAGGGGTTTGGAGTAAAGAAAGGTGATTCTTCAATCGTTTCTTGTGCAGACGTACCTGGTTGGGGCTGAGGTTCTGGTTCTGAAGTGTTCATTTTGGTCACTGGAGGTATTTCTCGTAGGCAGCGACGAGTCCTTTGTTTGGCTGGTGAGCTAACTCCGTCTGACCGAGACCTCTTGGGCACCTTACTGGCCATCACTTGCTGATCATACCGCATATCATAAGAGAAAAATAAATAAATAAATAAAAAAAAAAAAAAAAATTTTTTTTTTTTTTTTTTTCTTAAAATAACAAAAAAAAAGATGCCAACAGTAAATATCAACTGCTCTAATATACACTTTAACTGTATCACGTGAATAATCAGAGAGATTCCGCTATAAAATTGGTAAAAACTGAGAGAGGAGTTGAGGAGACAACCTTCTCATCAGCTGATCCACTGCCTTCGTGGTTTTTATTAATTAAAGATTTTTTTATGTATATGTTACTATAATTACTTCGGAAGAAATTAATAAACTAAGTACCTATATGAAATGATGTTTAAATGATTTTTTAAGTCCTATTAAATGTAATTAGACGAACAATAATACATTTAGATATAATTTTTGTCATAAAAAATGGTTATATTTTCCCATTTTGGGGGAGGTGCTTCAGCTTTATATTATTCATTTATATTTACTATTATATCATAATCAGCTGTCAGAATAGGTTTAAGTTGATTCCTTCATATTCGGTCATAGCACATTTGGTTGATAGGGTCTCAATGATCAAAAAAATTTGATGTGCGCAAACTCAAATTTTCCGGCGAGGTCCAGGATATATTTGTTTGCACATTGAAGGCCAGGCTTCAATCAAGAAATCTACATTGTGAAGACACGCTTGACCAATAGTGGATTTTCAGTTGTGAAGAAATGCAATTGACTGCAGAAACTATTCTAGGTTTTCTCGAAAACCAACAGTCGAAGGGCTGGTTAGAAATAGTAGAGGCTACTCAGGTGAAAAACAGTGCATAAAAAATAATGAAGAAGAACAAAAGCTTCAGTGGAAGAGTATCTCAGAGGAGAGAAGATAAGCGACTCCACCGTAAGAATAAATGTGAATTTAACAAAAACCAAGAATTTAGGGAAGCTGAACTTCTAAGAGGCGCTGATGAAATCCGAAATTTCATTAAGAAAACAGATGATAGTCGCAAACCCTTCAAGCTTAAAAACGCTGCCTGCTGTGACAAAGACAAGAAACTTCTTTCGGATAAATAAAACGTTTTAGAAAAATGGCAGGAACAATTAAAGGAAACTTTCGATCGGATAGATCCTTCGTAATCACAGGACTTGAATCTGCGAATGAATTACTTTTAAGGTGGGGAAGATATAGAACAGCCAGATCATGAGAAAGTTGTTAATGCTATTCAAAGGCTTAAGAACAATAAGGCTCCTGGTATTGATGGTTTATTAGCTCAACTATTCAAATATTGCGGCGACAAATGAGTTCAAAAGCTGAAAAATTTAATAATGAATAAATTTAATAATATCTGTTTTATGTCCCATTTATAAAAATGGGAATCAATAGTGATTCCCAAAGGTATCACCTTTCTTCCAGTGGCATATAATGTACTCTTTAATATTCTATATCAATGACTACTCACCCACACTGAGCAGATTCTCAGTCAATATCGATGTAGATTACGACTAGGGAAGGTCTGCGATTGATCATGTGTTCATCCTTTACCAGATTCACGAAAAATGTCGGAAATATCACTTCGCTACTCACCAACTGTTCTTAGACTTAAAGATTTGATGTGCACAAACTCAAATTTTCCGGCGAGGTCCAGGATATATTTTACTGCGTACGATACTGTTAAGAGAAAAGAGTTCCTGGTGATGGTAGAACTTGCCATATCACGGATACCTGTAGGATTGTGTTGCGCTACAATAGGTGGTGTGAGGTCTATTGTAAGAATACAAAATGATTATTCCCAAGAATAATACATCAGAGCCTGAAGTAAGGCAGGAAAACGCACTAGTATGTCTTTTGTTTAACATCGGGGTGCAGAAAGCTGTGAGAGACTCTGGGAATCAGATTCCTGACACAATTCTGAATAAAATTGTTTAAATTCTTGGATTTGTTGACGACCTTGACATAATTGAAAGGTCCCACACGACAGTAGAAGAAGCGTTCCTTGCATTGGAAGGCATTGCAAAGAAAATTTGACTAATACATCCGAAACAAAGTATATGGTTACAGCACAGCTTGCACGACCAGGGAAAGTGATTAAATTTGGAGAGTATGCTTTTAAAAAGGTGGACCATTTTAAATACCTTCGACACATTCTGAACTGTAACAATGATACTGTCGCAAAAATTAGAATTAGAGTGATGTTACCAAATCGTTTATTCTGTGGGCTGTGGCTTCAAATGAAAGACAACTTGAAAAGAATCCTACCCATAACAGAATCCTGTAAAATTCCTACCCATCAATTCGGATTTCGTTCCCAATATTCCACTGTCCAACAAGGACTCGGAGTTGTTGACCATATATCCTCAGCCCTAGAAAAAAAGCAATACTGTTCACCTACCTCTCTGACCGCTCCTTTCAATTTCACTGTGGTACTGAATTCTCCGACTGTCATTTAATGGAGGCGGGAGTCGCAGGACGGGCCGCAGGGCAGCGTCTTGGGTCCAACCCTTTACATTCTTTTCACCGCAGATATTCCTGTCCATCCTAATACCCTCCTGGCAACATTCGCTGATGATACCGCTATCCACCATCCAGCTTCCTTTCTCAGATACAATCAGGTACATTGTTTTCTCTTAGACAGACGACGGGCAACTATACCGACTACTAAACAGAAAATCTAAACTTTCTATTGAAAACAAGTTACTGATATACAAGACAATACTGAAACCTATGTGGTCTTACGGACTAGAACTGTGGGGAACAGCAAAATTTTCTAACATCAAGCGCATCCAATCCTTCCAGTCAGGAGTCCTTCGAATAATTGTCGATCCTCCTTTCTATGTAACCAACAAAACCCTCCATAATGACCTTCATATCCCATTTATTATTGACCTTATCCCAGAAAAATTCTCCAAATTTCACCAGAACCTTACGTATCATCCAAACCTCTTGCACAATCCCTATCAAGCACCACCCATCCCTATAATCCTCCAAGAAGGTTGAAACGGCAGTGTCCTCGCGACCTTTTGTAGATTGTAAATATTGGAATTCTGGCAATAGCCAGATTTTCCACTCAAGACTTGATTGTGCGTGCCTAAAGTGCTCTCGATCAATCCCCGCTGGCTTTAGTACCAGTGAGGCGGTTGAGATAGTAGCCCAAGGTTCTCCTGGAGTTTCCTCGCCTGATTGTAAATAGTGTATATAGGTATGCATGTGTTTTAGCTTAGTTTAATTTTTAGGGTATTTTATTTTATTTATTGTATATAATTTTTGATTATTATTTATTGTTATTTTGCTTCTATTTATTTTATATTTTTTGTACATATAGTATGAATGTTATCCTACCTCACTATAACTTTTGTCCATGTGACAGATTGTTGTAATACTCAATAAAAAAGAACTGGAAGAGTAGCTCCATTATTCTTATTTTACAGATTGATATTAGTCAAGTAGATAACTTTGGAAGAAATCCTCTTCACTATGCCGCTAAGTTTGGAAACATTAAGGGCGTTCTTTTCCTACTTGAATCTGGTCTTAAAATTGACACAAAGGATAAAGTGAAAAAGACTCCCTTATACATCGCAGTAGAAGAAGGCCATATCGATATCGTCGAACTTTTAATAATGAGGAATGCAAATATCAACATCTATACAGAACATAAGTGGTTTCCAGTACATGCTGCTGCCAAACATGGTCATTTAAAAGTAATGGAACTTCTAATTAGAGCTGGCGCAGATATTCATTCTAAGTAAATGTGTTTTTTATTTTTAATATTAAATCTTGTGTGACATTTTACATGATTTGCTATTGTCACTACATTTATACGATTTATTTAATTGTTAACTTATTATTTTTAGATCAATGTGCTACGAGAGGATGCCCCTGCATCAAGCTGTTTGGTATAATAAGACGGAAATAATTTCATTACTAATTGAAAAACATGTGGATGTCAATCATCCTGATCTCTGGGGGCGATCGCCTCTGCATTTGGCATCTGAAAAAGGTTATGTCGAAATTGCATTACAACTGTTGTTAGCAGGTGCCAACATAGACGCAAAAATGAGAGAGAAGAAAACGCCTGCAATGGTTTCTATTGAATCAAACCAACTAGGTACCTTCAAGGTACTTTTAGAGCATGGAGCTGATGTAAACCAAATTACCCAAGATAGAAGAAATCTGTTACATTTAGCGGCAAGAGGAGGTAATCCGGAAATCATAAGCCTATTAATATCTAGAGGACTGAATATAAATTCAAAGGATTCAATTGGTAGGACACCTCTGTTCAATGCTGCAGAATGTGGATGCCCACAAGCAATGGTTACCTTGATAGATAGAGGAGCCGATCCGTCGATTCTCACACAAAATAAAGAAACTATTCTTCATGCAGCGGCTTCAAGTGGTAACGAAAATGCTACTCTTTTGGCTTTAAGATACATCAAAAATATTAACGCTCAAAACGTACAGGGGCAGAGTTCCTTATACCGAGCAGCCTTCCATGGGCATATCAACATATTTCAGTTATTATTTGATAAAGGAGGAGATCCCAACCTTAGAAATATCTACAACGAAACACTTCTACACTTTGCAGCTATCGGTACTAATGATTTACTAGTAAAAAGACTTGTTCAAAACATGAGCACTACAGAAATTAATCTTCAAGATAACGAAGGTAAATGTATTATAATGATTTCTTTATTCGTTATGAATTAATTTCATTAAGATGTCATGAATATGTATATGTATTTTATAGTTATAGTTTACTGATTTGAGGTTAGTTCGTTGAATCCAAATAAGCCTCGCATCCATTAGATACGTAAAATGTGACGAGTTTCCCAAATATAACGAGAGGGATCAACTCTTGTTATAAATCGTCGCAGTTGCATTTATCACGCAACTAGAAATGTCGGTATCTATGGCATCACACCTAGTCAAGGCTGCCCATCCTCCCCAATATAGTTAGCGCAAAACCTATCCCCCCCCCTCCCAAGCAGTTTTATTGTCACCTTTTCTTAAAAATAGAGCAAGCGGACATAGAAATAGAAAAATCGTAGATGAATTACAATTACACGTGCTGCGAACTGACCCATGTTTCCCATTTGCCTTATTCGTTATCTTTATATTCCGAAAATTGATTTCTCCGTCGAAACGTGACCCCCTCAAAAATTCAAAAACCCGTTAAAATGTGCCTCAAAAATTTTATGGCGCAATTTGCGACATGAAACCCCCTTCTGGGCTCCCCTTGAATGTTTTCTACATCAAACCCTCCCTCCCCCCAAGTAACTCAGTAACATCGATTATCAATATTACGAGACCAAAAAAATAAAATAATAACAATAAAAAAAAATTAAACACTCTATCTACTGAATTAAACTTGCTGAGAAATGTATGACTCGTCCTGATCTTGTTACTGTCTCCTTTGATTGATTAGCTTGTTAATTTCATAATGTACCAGCGGAGTGTTTGGATGGTGGTGAAAGAAGTGTAGTTACATTGTTTATATCTGATTCGTTTGTGCGAAGGAGGTATGCCAGCTTCAGCCGGTCAATGGAAACATTTTCGTGTTTCCCTTATATTCTAATGGTAAAATTATTTGATTCCTGTTTAATTACGTTGATAGGGTCTCTTAAGTTGGTCCAAATCACTTTAGAAGAAACTATTTTGACAATAGATTTGATTCCTGGATGCGCCATATTATGATAATGCCTAAAAATAGCATACATAACTGGTTTTGAAGTTTATATCCATTGGTGTAGAACACATCACACCAGATAGATTTTCCGTCTATTAGTGGACATGGCTTGAAAATAACCGAAGTATTTGCGTGCTTTAGATTCTACAATTCGATGTCATTTTCTCATGCTTTATTAATTTCAGAAACAGACCCGGTCTGGCTCCGTCGGAAGCACTCGGCTGGAGTCTAAAGTAGATTCCATTACGAAGAGGGGATCCGGAGAGGATATTTATACCCATGAAAAACACTTTCTTTAAATATTTAAGTACTTGATGAGTATGAATTCTAAGGATTTTGTCTTATTTTCTTTCCTTTTCCTAGTGCCATTTTGGGTTTTCGCGGTTCATGTCAGTACCACTGTCAAATGCACAGCTTATAATGCCATACGCTCAGGCGGGACGCAAGGCTTGGTGAGGCCTTCGGCTAGAGTCTGAGTTACAATCAAACCTATTCCAGCCAGAGTAGGAGGGTCGAGTTTCTTTCCGTGGGTCCACCACGAAATAAAAGTCAACCTCTCCCAGGTTGGATTCGAACCGGCCTCGCTAGGCACGAAGATGCTAGAACGGGCAACGCTTCATTAGACATGGCCATCACGAACTGATCTTCAGCACCATCGGAGGGACCCTCAATCATTAAACGGTTATTTAAAAAATACAGTTATTTTTATGTAAGAGGTATTAAAAGGTTCTGCTGACTATAAAAAATATAATATATTCGGAACATTTGGTTTCGATAACAGATTTTTTAACACAAAAAAATCATTATAATGTGGCCTATGGGATGGTATGATCTCGAGATTAATGTAGTTTTTTAATGATCCTGTCTCTATAAGCTATTTTTTATTTTATTTGTCTAATAAATAAAGGAGTATTTATCTATAGTTTTTAAGTCTAATTGTTGTCGGGTGCTGATTGAGGACAGTGTCCTACCTCTAAAAAATGGTCTGTTAATTTATTCACGGATTCAGTTGATGAATTAATTGGATCTTGTAATTTTTGGAAATCCTGATATTGAGGATGTTCATCAAATTGCTGTGGAGTACAGTTTTTGAAGGTTTGATCATCAGGTGATTCTAGATAAGTAACTTCATAGGGAGAAATAAATTTCTAGTTGGTCTAGTCTTCATCGAAACAGTATTTTTGGAATTCCATTTAGGAAAATGTTTTTTGTTGATGAGTCGACGTTGTGGTTGAACGCTTTTCATGGAAACCGTGTTATGAGACTTCTATTTCGGATTTTGTTGAGATTGATTAAATTGTGTAAATTGGGGCCAATATTGATTAAAATTTTTAAATCGTTTAGGTTGTTATTGAAATATAGGTTGTTGGAATTTATTTGTTTGTTGCTGATTGAAATTAGGGGTAAAATCTGGAATGCTAAAATTTGGTTTAAATTTCGGAGCTATTTGAGCTGTGATTATGCTACTAATCATTAACTAATTTGTCTTGCTCGTCATTTAAGTCATGGATTTGTAGAACTTGTAGGTTTGCTCCTAAAGTGGTATGTACCCATGTATAAACGTCCGTACTAGTGTTGCATCTAATTGTGTTAGTAATTGTTTTAAGAGTTCTCTTACCCCATCTAATTTATAACTTGTAACGATTACCGTACGTTTCTCGTCTGGTTTATTTAAAAATTCTATTGGGTATTCTCGATTACTAGATTTCATAATTGCTACCTCAGCTATTAAATCAGACACCAACCTATTGTCTGCAAGAATTTTTCTAAGCTCATCTATTAATTCCTTCACTGTATTACAATTATTATTATACACTACGGCTACTGCTGGCCCATCTTATTTATTTATTTTTTTATTTTTTATTTACATTCCACCCTACCTTGCCTGATGGGCCATACGGGCGTTTGCAATAGTGGGCTGTTGTGCATGACTGCATAACAGCATACTACTGCAAGTGAAACAGTTTAAAATATATTATCTTTGGTGACGTCTTATCAAGGATGTCCGTCTTCAGGTCTTCTTGGTGGTGGTCCTCTTCTCCGTGCTCCGATGTTGAAGTGGGCTTTTTTTTTTTTTTTTTGTTCTTCCCTACCTCGCCGTTTAGGCTATACGGGATTTTCCCGGGCCGGAGGGTGGGGGCGGGGAATTTAAAATCCCCTCTGGCACCGGGATGCGAACTCGTACTTTTCTTGTCTCTCAAATCTTCATATATCTGGTTGCCAGGCGACTCGCGGTGCAGTGCACACGCTTTAGCCTATTCGGCTACCCCGCCCCATGTTGAAGTGGGCTGGACCCACTGCCTCCTTCCAGTCATAAATGAATTTCTTGAACCGAGTGAAGTTCTCCTTACTTACCAACTGAGGAAGTTTATCCTTTGTCAAAAATTTTTTTTTAATTTATTATTATTTTTTTTATTTATTATTATTTATTTTTTAAAATTTAACTTCCTTTATTCTATACGGAGGTCACTTAAGAAGGCCTCTATTATAAAAATTATATAATTATAATAATAAAACTTAATTCAAAAATACTTTGCAGAATATCTTGAATTTTTTATTTAATATTTGCAATTTAACATTTTGTTTTATATATTTACTGATTCTTAGAGGTAATTTAAATTGTATATACTTCCCCGGAAATGAGTCATATTAATATCTGTTTTATAAACAAAAATAATATATACCTAATCTGAACTACTTTTAATGAATAGGTGATGGATTGTTTAGTAAAACTCATATATCGCTATTAAAAAAATCATTTTTATTTCCTTCATTTTTTTTCGGAAGTTGGAGCATATCACAAAAAATACGAAATTTTAATATTAAATGCATTATTCTCTCTGCACAAAAAAAAATATGGAAAGGGCGAAGCTATAAGTTCATCTAGATAACTGGAACTGATTGTTAGTATTTGGTCTCAAAATGAGGGAAAACGCGAAACTGAACCCAAACATTGGAAAAATACATTAAGCGAACGACAAAGGAAGTGCCAAAATCTCGGAAAAGAAAACCAGGATCAGTATCCGTTATATGGCTAAACGAATATATAGTAGACAAATGAACAGAATATTTCAAGATGCTGCTAAAAGGGGGTCAAAATGCTTGATCAGTTTGGATGATATTAAGCAGGTTTATTATGGTGAAGACCATTTCATCAGCAAGAAAGATTTGTTCTAAGCAATTGGCAAGTCAGCTGGTCTGGAGGAAGTAAATGAGGTTTATAATGGTGAAAACCACTTTATTTTAGATTGCTATTGAAGTTGCACATTGGGACTATCTTCACATTGAAGCAGGTTATAGAGAGGTCTATCGATAAAGGAAAATAGCTCTCCTCCTGTTTAGTGCAATTGCAAACGATTTTTTAAGTAATCTGAAAGGAAAACGAGCTTTTGTGAAAGACTAGTAGATATTCGATCAATCCAAAGTGTGAGGCACTAAGCAGATAGAGAACCATTTTTCTTTCTCTGTGGACTTCTCTATAACCTACCTTAAAGTGAAGACAGTCCCAATTTACAACTTATGTTCCAACGTGCAACTTGAGTTTCTCAATCCATATCGCTCAGACAATCGACGATATTTCTTATTCCAGCTTCTACGATTCTTGAGTAGACTTTCTTTGGTACTATAAACAGTAAGGAATCTCGAATAACATTTCCTAGTATCTCATTTCCTGTAAAGAGACAAAACTACAGTCCTTTCATATCATTTTCTAATACATTTGTAGCCTTTGTACGCACAGCGTTCGGGTTACTTCGTCCAGACCAGCTGACTTGTCAATTGCTTAGAACAAATCTTTCTTGCTGATGAAATGGTCTTCACCATAATAAACCTGCTTAATATCATCCAAACTGATCAAGGATTTTGACCCCCTTTTAGCAGCATCTTGAAATATTCTGTTCATTTGTCTACTATATATTCGTTTAGCCATATAACGGATACTGATCCTGGTTTTCTTTTCCGAGATTTTGGCACTTCCTTTG